GGCTCAGTCAGTTAAGCCAACTCGATTTCGGCTCAGGTCATGATCTCATGGTTCGTGGGATCAAGCCCCACTGTCAGCACGGAGCCTGTTTAGGATTCTCTCTCTCTCTCTGCCCCTCCCTTGCTCACTCTTGCACATGCTCTTGCTCTTTCTCCCTGTCTCTCTCACTCAAAATAAATAAATAAGCTTAAAAATTCTGTGGGACAAAAGTTGCACCCTCATGAATTTTATTGAGAACCAGATACCTTAGGGCTTCACTCTTGGCTTCACTATGAGGTTGCCCTACTTGTCATTTTTGTCTCTGAAGCCACACAGAATAAAGTTGGTTTCAGTAAATACGTACACAAATTCCCTTTGCGCTATCCAGCACAAAAGCTACAGAACCATAGAATCTTCTTAGAATTAGGGGAAAAAACAATTGATCATCTGATACCATTTTCCTTGCCTTTTTTATGTTTTATTAGGAGCATACTTAATCTTATAAAGGGAGTTGGTCAGGGATGCTCTCATGGGCTTGTGAGTGTAAATTCTGCCTGGCATTTAACTTATTTGACCTATGTGTATGTGTTAGTTTTCTGTTGCTACAGATTAAGATACTCCAAAATTTAGCAGCTTAAAACAAGAATAAACATTTATTATCTCACATGGTTTATATGGGTCAGGAATTGAGAAGCTGCCTAGCTGGATGATTCTAGGTCAGTCTTTTATGAGGTTGATGTCAGCCAGGGCTCCAGATATTGGAAGGCTTACCTGGGGCTGGAAGATCTGCTTTTAGGATGGCTCATTTATATGCTTGGTGAATCCATCCTGGCTGCATGTCCCCTTACCATGTGTACCTTCCATAGGGCTGCTAAAGTGTCACATTGTGGCAGCTGGTTTCCCTTGAACCAAGTGATCCAAGAAGGAGAACGGAGGACAAGTTGGAAACCAGAGTGTCTTTTATGTCCTGACCTTGGAAATCACACACCATTCAGTGCCTCTGCAGTATCCTATTGGTTACATAGGTCAGCCCTATTCCTGGGAGAAAGGACTACCTTAGGGTATCGACATCCAAGAGGCATGACTCATTGGGGCCATCTTGGAAAGCGGCTACCACAGTGTGTAAGAATGATCTTATACCTTCATTCCTCAAAGCTGATTATTCTCTCCATTCTCCCTGAAATCTGTCCTTTGTTGGTTGGTTGGTTAGTTGGTTGGTTGGTTCTGAAGTAGCATTAGAAGGATGGTAATAGGCACTGGTTTCTAAGAAGCTTAGATGTCAGTGAAATATCACCTCTATAGTTGTTTCCAAAACACTTGTATCTCTGTATACCCCATATAGATTGAGAATTAGGAAATAAAATAACTATTTTTAATTCATATCATAAATTCACAGATCTGTTTTAATGAGTAACCCTTTTAGATAATAGAAATAGGCTTTTAGAAATCGTAGTAAATCAATTACATAGGAGTTGGGTCTGAGTGAAAGTCCCCTTAAGCTCTTTTCTCCCTTTGCCAGGAAATCCTTTCTTCTGTCCCCTGTACTGCCCATAAAGGCCATCATTCTCTTCTCTAATCCCTCTGTACTCAACTCAGTTCTCCCACTTGTCAAATCTGCAACCTTGGGCACATTACTTAATTTCTTTGTGCCTCTATTTTCCCCTTTGCAAAATGGGAGCAATAATTATACCTATTTCTTGGGGTTGTTCTGTGGGCTAAATGACATGCTGCAGTGTACTTAGTATGATGTCTGGCACATTGGTAAGCACTCAGATGTTAACAGTTGCTGCCCCTTTATTATGGTGGTGATGGTGGTTATTGCAGTCACACTAAACTATAAATTTATGTATTTTTAGATGTCTCTTTTACCTTTCCATTGATTGAACAATTACTATAACCCAGGTGCTGTGCTAAAGCACCTTATGGGTCTTATTTCATAGGCAAGTGATATTATCTCCATTTTACAGATGAGGAAATTAAGACATAGGTTAAATAACCTGTTACAGGATCACACAGCTGTTAAGTTGTACTGCTGGGTCTCTCAGTCCATGTTTGTGGAATTAGATTAGATTTAAGAAAGATGTGTCATTGTGAATTTCAAAATAGCATCTCAAGACTAAAAACAAGAGACTGTATAGTCAGTCTGTGGTTATTCATAGTTGAGTTGGATGCTTTATAATCAAAAGACGTTAGCCTATCCTTTAAACCATAATGCCATGTAGCATCAATTTTACCAGTATGAATGTTAAAGGGAAGGGAATGCAAGAGAAATGAGCAAAATGAATTTTGCTGCTTTTAAACAGTCACTGTTTAAATGTTTGAGAAGAAACGTTATAGAAATTACAGTAAACATCCAAATCCAGTGACAATTTGTAATTAATAAACGTTTTTATTATAAAAGGCCCATATTCAATTATATAAAATAAAATAAGGGGCGCCTGGGTGGCTCAGTCGGTTAATCGTCCGACTTCGGCTCAGGTCATGATCTCACGGTTTGTTGAGTTCGAGCCCCGTGTCGGGCTCTGCTGACAGCTCAGAGCCTAGAGCGGGCTTCAGACTCTGTGTCTCCTCCTCTCTCTGCCCCTCCCATGCTCATGTTGTATCTCTGTCTCTCAATAATAAATGTTAAAAAAATTGTTAAAAAAAATTTTTTTTAATAAAATAAGGTTTCTGATTTGACAGTAGGAACAAAGTAAGTATGTACCAAGAAGAGCATCTGAAATGTAGTTTTGTTCAGTCACTAAGCCAGGTGTTCTGTTGGAGCTACTATTGAGTTTGTAGAACTTTATATTTTCTTTGTTTTGCGTTTCTCCTCCCTATACTTTGTCTGCCTCTGAAAAACAGATCTCAGTTCTTTTTCTCAAGGACATATATAATTTGACTTTAAGTGGAATTCATTTCAGTGGGCAAAGGTGTTTTTGTTTGATGAATGAATACAGTTGTGTGACTTTAGGTATCAAGGATATTTGTAATCAAAGTAATGAGCTGTTAAAATTTTAGTTACTAAGTGATTTGGAGATAATTCAGAGAAGAAATATGAGATCATTAAATGACAAATCTGAGGAGCTTAAGTGTCTTTTCAAATTTTATTGTTCGGAAGGTGAATTTGTTCTGGTTACATGCACACAATAGGATTTTTCTAAAGAGTAAATTTACATAATGAGCTGGATGGCCTTGTAGATGAGCCTTAGTGGTTGTCCTCTAGTGTAGCTGATGGCTGACATGGCCAGAGCTGCTAACAATGCTGGTATATTTGTTAAGTGGTCAAGCAGATAAATTCCTCATGATTGGTAAATCTCTTAAGTCCCGAAGAAGACCAGAACATATAAAAAATGAGAGAGGAGTGCTATTTGGTGATGATCACGCATAGTTTCTGAGCGTCCGCCAAAGCACGGGAAATGCCACAATAAGTTTGGACTTGTGAAGAACATTGTAATTCTGAAATAGCTCTGTGGCCTTTCAGACTCTTTCTAGACTTGTTTTTGAAGCAGCCTGTGCCTGAATTACGAAAATGATTGTTTTTCTTGAGGAAGGCTTACAACATGTGCATAGACAGAAATTGATGTTATCCCTGATGATAGAATTTGGATGATCATTGAAGAGTAAAATTCCTGCTAAGAAAGACATATCTAAGAAAGACCAGGAGTCATGAAGAAAACATTTTAGACATTGTTATTTACTGATTATTGGAAAAGGCATGTACCTGCCCTTGGAGAAAGGTTCTGTGTCATATACCCTGCCACCTGTCTATGTGCCATACCGATGAGTTAATGAATGTAATATGGTCTGTGCATGGACCCTGTGCTGTAATGTTTGTGCTTATTTGCATGAAAATAGGAGTAGAAGTAGCTATTGTTTTGAAGGAAATTAAATGAATTACACGTAACCAAATTAAGAGATATAAACATTTCTTCCCCAAAGGCTGAGTTAAATATATAGAAGGAAGGCTGGAGGGCAGGAAAAATCAGGAATTTAGAAAAGAAGTTTAGTTTTTATAGAGTAGCCATTGGAATGATAAACTGAACACCTAATCCTTACGTGAAGAGTTCCTGTGTGTTCTTGGGTTTTTTGTGTTTCTTCCTCTAATTAAGAAAATTCAAACAAGAAAGATCCAAGGACCAAATGTTATATTCAGCCATAACAGTTGTTTAACTCATCATAGGATATAGCTATAGCCTTTAGGGAGGCAAAACTTCTGGACTTGTTTTTTAGTGTCACCAGCTTGTATGGTCAAGGGCAGTATGACTTCATAGAAGTCATGGCTCATGACTCATAGAAGTTACCCATCCCAGTCAAGCCACTTCTCTTCTTGCTCAAGGCTTAGCATGAAGTGCTAGGGAGAAAATTTGCCCAGCTGTGTATTAACAGTCACATACATGATGACACAGGGACGTGGCTGGACTAGCCGACTGAACAGCAGTCTTGTTGCCTACCTGAGAGGCAGTGCTGCCCCAGATGCAACTAAATAACTGCTTAAATGTTAATAGATGCTGTGGAATAATAATGGAGTTTAAGGTGGGGGGGGGGGACTTAGAAAGTGAACAGCTGAACTTGATTTATGCATAGTGCTTCTGCCTCAACACTGACCCGTATTACATTCATTGCCTCCACCCATTTTACACTTAAGCAGATGGCACATTATAACACGGTTCAGAATTTTTAGCAAGTTTCACAGCTGTGCGATGTTCATTTATTTTCAAGTGAGCTGACTCCCAACTGAGTATTCATGCATGTACTGTTAATCCCAGCTGTAGCAAGAGTTTTGACATAAGTGGGGTCTGGCCCCCTAAGTCTATAACTTAACTCAAAGACACTATCTTTCCTGCACCAGGACCAGGCCAAGGCATGGGTTTAGCTCTAAGCAGAAAGAAATTCGGATTTCATGGTATTGGCCATATTTAAAACATTTTTAGATACAGCTTGGAAGACCACTGGCTCACAGTCTGCAATTCGGGCAGTGTGCTTTTCTCTTCAGGCTGTTACAGCACTGCTCATGCTCTCTCGGGACTTTTGATTTGCAGATGCTAATGCTGGAGACCGTGGACAGACCAACAGCGCTGCTTCTGCATCAGCTTCCAACTCCACCTGAACAGCCCCAGCGGCCAGCTGCACAGGAAAAACCACCAGTTACTTGAGTGTCACTCAGCAACACTGGTCACGTTTGGAAAGAAAATTAAAAAGAGAAAAAAAACCTGCTCATTTTAGTGTTCAATTTTTTTATTATTATTGTTGTTCTTATTTAACCTTGTAAAATATCTATAAATACAAACCAATTTCATTGTATTCTCACTTTGAGGGAGATCCAGGGGGTGGGAGGGGTTGTGGGGAGGGAAGCGGAGCACTAGAACACACAATCTCTCTCCCACGACAATCTTTTTTATCAAAAGTCTGCTGTTGTATACTTTAAAAACAGGACTCCTGCCTCATGCCCCTTCCACAAAGAAGAAGACTTTGTTCTGTGCTGAAGTTTTTTTGAACTTTGTTTTCTTTTCAAGTCAAGTGTAAGACTTTGGGCTAGTGCACAGCTTGAAATTGGTTGGGAGCTTTAGCAGGTATAACTCAGTGGGGACTTAAATGTCACTTGTAAAATTAATCCATATCCTCTGGTATTTGAAGACTTGCCTTTGGCATATTGGTGGCAGGTGTGGCAGACAAAAAAGGAAATGTGTATCATTTGTATGTAACCCAGGGAGGTCAATAAAGTTTGAAGATTCTTAATTGACTTGATAAGGTCTTGTTTTGCTCGTAATCAGTGCTAGTGGTGAAGAAACTCAAGAGGAGGCGATCAGAGGAGCAAGCGTGCTCCGAGTGCAGGTCTTTGTTTGCCTGACTGAAGGTTCTCTGCAGATCTTAGTACAGTTTAACCTAGTGGCCTAAGAGAAGGCTGAGAGGGTGTTGAGCCAGTCACTCTGGCTGCAGCGGTCAAAAGCTGATGAACCTGGAGGAAGGGCACAGGCCAGGGCCAGATCTCAGCACTGTGAACGAATTTGTCCAGACTTGTTTCCAAAGTTGCTTCCCTTGGAAAGAGACACTTGAGAGGACATTATAGTTAAATAATGTGAACTGTAACAGTCTACTGGTTTATTTTTCATATTTTTTAATTACAAATTGAGCTTGCAGAAATTGCCACATTCTGCACATAGTTCTAATTTTAAATCCAAATCTAGAAATCTGTATTTAATTTCAGCTTTTTTTTAACCTCATGCTTTTAAATTTTTATTTATTGATGTATGTCAGATAGACCATTATGATTTTAGATGGTAGGAATTTTAAGAACTACACATCAAAATGGTATAAACAGTCACGTGTACTGCTGACTTTATAGGAAAGCTGATTATATAAATGTGTGTATGTATATATGTTATATATACATAGATTCAATACTGCCTTTTATTTTTGTTTTTGTCCACAGTATCAAAATCAACTGGTTGAAGCATGAGAAGAAGAATGTTTTCCCCCACACCCAGTTAAGAGTTTTTGTTCTGTTCTCTTTGTGTATCAGTGAACGGTGTAAGACTCAGTCTCTGTTTTTGAAGAAAAAGCAATATTCCTTGGAAAGCAAAAAGGATTGAAGGATTATGTTTGCAGTGAGGAAATAGATTTTCACAACTAGTTTGTTTTATACTTTTAAGGTTGCCATCTTTGTGGGCCTTATATACTCGAAAATGAACCTTAGTCACCTTGGTGCTTATGGGCCATTACTTGACCTATGAATCTTTAAGGCACAATCAGTTGTACTTTACATTTAAAGATCACTTGAGTGATGGCCGCCTTTCCTTTCTACCACTCTTTCCCTACACACCTTCCAAGGTTAGCTGATGACTGCAGGGCTGAGGAGCTGAGCCCTAGACTGTGTGTAGCCTCCCTTCACCCTCATTGCCACCTGAGGTCATGTTCGGGGTCTTGCGCCCTCCCTGTGATTGGGAAGTGGAGTCTCTTGGCGGCCCTCACGCAGGTCCCAGTTCCCTGTCCTGCTTCTTAACCAAGTGTGTGTGACTCTCCAAGAGAGTCCTACTGCCTGCTGAAGTGAACCAGTACCCGGAAGGGCAACTGTGAGCCGTCTTAGTTTTCACTCACTGTTTAGCTAAGCTCTTAGGCCACAAAAAGGGTTTCTCAAACCTCTGGTTGTATCAGAGTTCGTGAGAAAGGAAACACACTCAGTCAAACCAAATCAAACAAATTGACTTTTACATTTTCTAATGGGCTTCTGAGAGCTAATTAAGATTTGAAAGAAGTCTGAATCAAAGTATTTGGCTGGGTAATTCCTAAAGGGAATGGCTTTGATAGACCATTTTCAGAAAAGATTTATAAAGAAGCTGAACAGCAGGTCTCTGACAGAGAAGTAAACCTGCTTTCACACCAGACTGCCCAGCCAAACATTTGGACACAGACACTACTCTGGACTTGGTATACCCACTAGAGTCCATAAAAATCTGTGCTTGTTTTGGGAAACACTCCCCCCTCCTTTGCCCCCATAATTGGGGTAAGAGAAGAAGAGAGAAAAGTACAATGCTTTTCTCTCATTTTATTGTGTGTGTGTGTGTGTGTGAGGGCTGAGGTGTGTGATTTTTCTTTCTCAAGGATCATGGCGGTATCACAGAACTCTTTTATACAAGTGAGATCCAGGTCTCTGAATATCTTTTTGTAAATAATAATAATAATAATAATAATAATAATAAAAGCTCCTCACCAAATTCAAGCTTGTACATTATATTTTCTTTCAGTGTTTTTAAATTTAAGTTTTATTGTTTTGTATGTAAATATGTGGACCCAGGAACTGTTATTAATGAGCAAAAAGTTACTGTTCAGGGCAGTGATTCTGTTTAATAATCAGACAAAATGTAGACGAGCTTTTTAAAGCCATATAGTTTTAACTCTGTACAGTAGGTACCGGCCTGTATTATTGTAACAATAACTCTAGCAATGTATAGTGTATCTATATAGTTTGGAGTGCCTTCGCTTCCATGTGTTTGTTTTTTGTTTTTGTTTTTCATTTTTTAAGTTTTAATTGGTTTTTCTATCCATGTGTCCCTGTCCCGCCCCTTTCCCTTTGAAATACTAGCTCGCTCCTAACAGTGTCTTTGCCCCTTCCACAGTTAATTTCAGTGATACCATGCTCAGGAGTGGAAAGAGGAAACCATGTTCATGATCTCATTTCATTTAAGCCCTGCCTTGGTTTTGGTTCTGAACAGTTGTTTCCTCCTCAGTCAGTACCAGTGACGAGTTTCATTTCATACTTAAGTCCATCCAGGGACTTAGTGTAGTGCCAGCGAGCCCTAGATCTGGAAGATACCGAATAGATTCGAGTTTGCTCATCTCTTCCCCAAATCCTAACCATGGGTCTTACAGACAGCAGATTCCGGGAGCCTTACATGCCCTCCTCTTTATCTGCTTCCCTCCTGATAGAGAGAGATGGTTTTATAAATCAGAGTTTCTTAATAGTATTGAGTTTTGATACATCAGTGGCCTAAAATGCTACAGTGCAATTAATTACTAGCAGTTACTGCACGGAACTCCAGCGTGCTGATAGAGGGCTGTCGTTGTAACAAGGGAACTTTTAGCCCATCCCCTCCCTCCTGCCACCTCTACCCCTGTTTAGTAAAATGTCATTCTAATTTCGTTCTTAAAAAAATAAGTTTAATTCTTACTGTGTGCCCATCATGAAGGCCTTTTTTGAAAGAAAAAAATCAAAATCATTTGTTTTGCCTCCGAGTACTCCATATAAGATGTCTTGAGTAGTAGAAAAAAAAAAACTTTACCAAACCAAAGGTTGCTATTTTTGAAACATCGTGTGTTCATTCCAGCAAGGCAGAAGACTGCACCTTCTTTCCAGTGACATGTTGTGTCAGTTTTTTAAGTCCTCTTAATTTTTAGACACATATTTTTGGTTTGTGTTTTAACAAAGCCTACCTGACCAGTCATCTTGTCTGCACCAATGCAAAGGTTTCTGAGAGGACTACTGTATTCTCTATCCCTGTGGATATAAAGACACTGGCATTTCATTTCTTTTTCCCTTTCCTTTTTAAGGGATTTAACTTTGGAATCTTCCAAAGGAAGTTTGGCCAATGCCAGATCCCCAGGAGTTTGGGGTTTTTTTTTTTCTTTGTTTTAAACCAAAATTGTATCTAATTTCTATTGTTGATGTTAGTGATCATCTAATCACAGAGCCGAACACTTTCTCCCCTATATAGAAAAATAAAGTAAGCATGCTTTCCAATAAAATCTGTCTTTTCTAGTAGAAACCTGAGCCACTGAAAATAAGAGAGAAAAGCAGAATAGAGTCCCAGACTAAGGTCTACGTTTGAGAGGCTTTGAAAGTAATCCCTGGGGTTTGGATTATTTTCACAAGGGTTATGATGTTTTATTCACGTTTGTTGCTCCGTTTTGTACCTCTGCAATAAAAGCAAAATGACAACCAGTACATAAGGGGTTAGCTTGACAAAGTAGACTTCCTTGTGTTCATTTTTGTTTGTTTTTTTTTCTTATTATAATATCTGTCTACAGGCAGATACAGATAGATGTATGAAAATGTGCTTGCCTGTAAAATTTGCATTTATAAGTGTGTTGCCGATGGATCACTTGGGCCTGTACACATACCAATTAGCGTGACCACTTCCATCTTAAAAACAAATCTAAACAAAATTTATTATATATATATATATATATATATAAAGGACTGTGGGTTGTATACAAACTATTGCAAACACTTGTGCAAATCTGTCTTGATATAAAGGAAAAGCAAAATCTGTATAACATTATTACTACTTGAATGCCTCTGTGACTGATATTTTTTTCATTTTAAATATAAACTTTTTTGTGAAAAGTATGCTCAATGTTTTTTTTCCCTTTCCCCATTCCCTTGTAAATACATTTCGTTCTATGTGACTTGGTTTGGAAATAGTTAACTGGTACTGTAATTTGCATTAAATAAAAAGTAGGTTAGCCTGGAAATGAAATTAAAATTCACAAGTGTGTGGTCTTTATTTCAGTACCCAACCCTCTTTTCTTCACCCTACCTATTCTGCTACTGCGGTATATAGTCACATCACCATCTCCGTTCCTCCAATTAGAGAAACATGGATCTTTGTTATAAAAATCAAGATGCAAACACTAGTTCTCCTTCTTTAAATGATCTTATTATATTGTATGGCCCCAAGAGGTGCAGCTTCCATCTTGGAAACCTTTGGATTTGATGTAGAGGAAGCTTTGCAGACACTGCTTTGAAAAGAACGAAATGTCCCTGAAAGGGACAAATTTTTAAAATGTGTATAAGCTGCTGTCTTTGATTACTGTGTTCATGGTTTGGTGTAGCTGTATTTTCTTTTAACTTTCATCCCATTAGTAATGGTCTTTGGGAGTATCTGTAAAATATATGAACACCACAAACAGTGGGGCTGTACCTCCCAGGTTACCAACACATGTTGTGTTTGAATCTGCTCATTTCCAATACTGGATGATGTATGTAAACATGTTATGTCTCTTAGTGCAAAAAGAAACATCATTTTTTTAGGGCTGGCTCACTCTGTCAGGCCTAATCTAAAGGCTAGATATAAAGTCATGTGACTGCTGCTTCAATAAAAACAAATTTATATTGGATAAAGTCTGCTCTCTATTTATTTTGTTTATGGTGGTGGTATGGGATTGGCTGATATCTGTAAAATAAATATGTTCACCAGTTGCCAGGGGTTTGGGGGGAAGGAAAGGAATCCATGCAGACCTAAAGATCACACTTGTGGGATGGGCCTCCTGATGGCATTGAAATGCATTTGTTTGGGATTCACCACTGTTTTATTTCCTGCCTTATTTGGAGTTGGAATTGAGCAGGATACCCTTTTAACTTAAAATCCCGGAAAGTGCATTATTTTTAATATGTAAGGTCTTCCAAAAAGTACTGAGTAACCTGTCCTTTGGATCGTGTTTCAAGAGAGCAATGATAGCAAATGCCATTTTACAGGTGCACTAGAAGAGTAGTTGGGAAAGGGAGGGATCAGATGGCAGAGTTCAGGGAGAAGTTTGTGAAAGGAAGTGACCAAAAGTGATGATGTGGCCACCCACAGAGTTCAGGGAGAAGTTTGTGAAAGGAAGTGACCAAAAGTGATGATGTGGCCACCCATTTCTCAGGTGTGAGGTATTCATCCACCCCCTAGCACCTACAGATTTAGAAGCACCGCGGGCATGTTAAGGGAACGTGTCCAAGGCAAAACAGAAGCTGGTGTGTAACATGACACGATGAGGCCCACAAGTCAGCAGCTGGGAAGGGATGATCAATCAAATGTATGTTTCTCTTTACATCCTCTTTTCTCCAGAAAAGAGAGGCCACCCCGGGCTTTCCCACAAGAAAACGTTATCAAGGCTTTAGTTGGGCCCATGAAGTCTGGGGCAGGTAGAGACTGGCCGCAGAGTGCCTCTGATAAATGGGGGAACCAGAAGGCAAGCAGTACTTACTTAGAAGGGCTTTTCTGTCTAATTATAGGGATGGACTCCATCCTCACCTAAGGCGAAACCTAGTAAATGAATAGCAGCCATTGGGATGCCTAGAAACGGACAGTTCTAGGTGTTCAAAGGCTCAGGAAAGGGAGTAATAGAGTAATCCAAATGTTAGAGAGTAGGCAAGTTGAACCTGGCTCCTAGCCCTATAAACTCTAAATCCACAAAGTATTCTATGTGAGCTGTTTGGTGTTTCTCACCTCGAATCTAAACTACACTTGGACTACGATAGTTTTTATAATATACATAGCTCCTATGTTCATATCCGTTCAGCTGCCCACATATTTTTAAAATCAATATGAGCACATGGGAGTTTACATCTCATCTTAATTTCATCTTACTGCAGCCTACATTTAACAACTGTTCTGGGCTCTTGAATTCATAACACACTCAAAATTATTTCAATGGGGGAAGAGGAGATGCATGTGATTTATGAATACAGTTGAATGAAATTTATATTTCCAAAAGAGTATAATTAGACAAAATTCCCGGGAACAAAATCTGTATTCATTGTATCTGGAGAGAGGAGCTCTTTTTTCCTCAGTTTCTTTTCTAAAAATGAGTGTGTTCTATATCCTTGATGCAGAAGAGGCTGATAAGTCTGGAGGGGTGGAAAGAAATATGCTTGCTTGATTTATAGTATCAGTGATTTCTTGTGCTCTCAAAGTTTGGCCACCTTCTTGTAAAATGATAAACAAGTATCTGTTCCTCAAAATTCAGTTATAACACTTATAGCTTCATTTGCATCAAAACATTAGACATTTAAAATTAATTCAATTACTACGTTTAAATTTTTTATATATATGTACACAAACATACACAATTGGGGAGATGTAGCATTTTTATATAGTTTTTACATGGAATAATCGTGAGCAAACCAGGTGAAATCATTTTTATGTTTTTACACCAATAGCCTTTAGATGTGTAAAGGGCAATAGTAAAATAAGTAGTAAAGAAATATATAATAATACTTCTATTTTCCCACCCCCACATTTCTTTCTCCCCCAGAAAAGAAGGCAAAAAAAGGTTTACATCTCTAGCCAAAAGTTATTTAAGTCCTCTTGCCTTTATTTGACACTAAACTCAGGAACCTATTTGCTAAGCCTGTCCTTGGGTATAGAATGCCTTTTGTGAAATTAGTCAAAATATAATTTGCACAAAGGGCAAAAACATTTTTAGTGAAAATGGCTATAAACAATGCAAACACTTTCATACTCTGTAGCTTTCAAAATAGACATGTAAACAGGAACATACGGTGCATGTGTATCTAGACGGTTTATTAACTGCCTGCCAATGTAGCCTTGTCACACAAAGCACCCCTGTGTTCCAGCCTCAGGAGAAAAGCCAAGCCCCAGTCCATATGCGGAGCAGACCTACACCAAGGCACACACATATGCACACAGCCAGTTCGGTCCCATGAACACATGTTCCAGAGATCCCTCACTTGGGTCCTCAAGTGCATGCAGAACCCCACATGGCATTCACAGAAATTCCTTGTGTTTCTTACGTCAATTATCACTGCTTTTGGTCAAAGCTATTTGTGTTTCTGCTTTGTTAGATTGAACTTGAAAGTATTGAAGGTCGGGAACCATGTCTGAGTCAGCATTGTATACCCCACAGCGAGCTGCAAACTGTTGGTGCTTACTAATGTGTTTGAATGGATGCAGAGACACAGAATGAGGTGCCCAGAAAGAAGGAAGAATAGACACAGAAGTCATGACAAGCTTCTGCCGTTTGCTACAGGCCTTCAGGCTTCTCTCACAGACACAAATGCACCTGCTGATGAACACAGGCCTGGGACTCACTGAACAGCTCAGGACAAGAGGCTGCAGGTTGGGAATGAGTGGGGTGGGAAAGACAGGGATACTTAGAGATAGCAGTGGAAACATCCAAGAAGCTAATGAACTTGGGTGCGAGCATAGAGTCCCAGATGGTCCAGCCCCAGTCACCTCTTCCCCTCTCCCACCATGACACTAAATCCCCAGACCACAGGGCCATTTCTAAGGGGAGGGTGATATTGCCTCTGGACGGGCCCAACCTATAGGCCAGTGCACTCTTCATCAAAGTGTCTATGTGGCTTCACTCTCCATGCTGGGGAGACCCTTATCCCCTTCCTGAAGAATGCCAGGCAGCATTGTCGGAGGGGTGGTTGTGCATTCCCCGGGGAGGCAGGACCTGTAAGGCATTGTCAGCTCTCAGCCGTATCCATCTATCTAGCCCCAGGAATGGCAGCTCCGAGGGCTCTGGCTGCCCCACGGAGGCTCGTCCAAGGGGCAGCTGCTCAGCCATCCGTGATGCTGAACAACTCCCGCATGAGGGGGGTAGCAAAGGGGTGTATGTCCTGGATGCGAAGCAGACGCTGGGTGTGCTGGGCGTTGATGCTGCGGAGCTCGGTGAGCATGGCCATGATCTTCAGGAACAGGAACCTGCAGACCAGCCAGAGGAAAAGTTGGGGGTGCAGCCCACCCTTGTCCCCATCCGCCAACCCTGGGACTGCTTTGAAGTTGCACAAGTTTGGAGCTTGGATGTTCTGTTAATCTCAGAACATCTCAGGCAAGCCAAGAGATAAGGTTCAGTTGAATTCCTGAAGCTTCCCTTAGTCTGTGGAAGAAAAGGGCAGAAAATCCTTGGGGGGATTGAGGTGTGGATTTGCACTCTCCACTTGCCCTTAATGCATGGGGCTTGAGTCCTTGTAGACAGACATTTCCATGGGAAAATCCAGGCATTGCAGGGGCCAAGTACATAAGGCAATCTTGGGGAGAAATCACTGCCTTGGCTAATGGCTGTGGGTCAGGACCAAATGGAGTAGTTGTGGAGGCAGGGACTACAGGCTGCCCTGAAGATCCTTCCTGCATCTAGCCTGGTATCTAGTGTCTCAGACAAACCTTATGCCTTAGTTTCCACATGATGCCTCCTGGCTCCATACAGGGGAGGACCAAGCAAATCTAGACCTGGTCACCCCCAGCATCCCAGATGCTGAGCTCAAAACAAAGTTGAAGCAGGCCAAGTAAGGACTTGAGGTTTTAGGCTCAGCCAGCATCCCAAGTACAGGCCTTCACCCCTCAAGGCCGAGGCCTTCGGGCACCAGGTCATGGAGACTGCTGAGGGGATGGAAACCCCATCTGGTGAAGCCCTGAGCTTTGCTTCCTTCTTTGCTTGTGACCAGAACAAACCAAGAAGTTTCCTACCCTGTTTGCTTGGGTTTGTTCCTAGAGGTGTGGGCCATGGACTTATCCACCTGGGGCTAGCTCCAGATCCAACCCAGCTGGCTCTGGACCCTGAGGCTCCAGTCCCTCGCAGGACAGTGGTGGCACCCACTCCATGGGGCTATTCTCAAGATTAAAGGTGACAATACATGTAAACTGCTTGGTACCAGGGCTGACACTTCTCAATACAAATGTATTACTTATTATCATCATTATTGTTATCCTGGTTATCTTTATTATCATTGCAGTTCTTGCTGGCTCTTGCTAGAAGACCCCGTAGGAGCCTCAGGAGAATTCCTGGCTGTTCCCGTCCCTGGCTGACAGGAGCGTAAAAGGGCAGATGTGAGCCAGGGAGCAATGTCCATGGCTGGGCATGGCCTCTGGCCCTCCTCAGGTTTCTCTAGTTGGGCTGAAGCTCAGGCTGACTGGGCAGGAGGCCTCACTGGAGGTCACGGAGCAGGGCCCCAAAGCCCCAGCAATCAGAGGCTGCCCCAGGAGTGGCTCCAGTCTGCCCTCCCAGAGAGGCCTGGGGAGGGGGCGGGGCGCTGGAGGATGGGGCTGCTGAAGGGACCCACTCATACCCTCCCTGCTTGTGCTCACCGGTGGGCAGGCTGGGGCCGATTGCACTCAATGTAGGCCTTCAGGGCGATGGCGAATCTCTCCTGCAGCTGGTCCACCACGCTGCGTTGTACCACACCAGGGCGGTCTGGTGGGGAGGGGAAGGCCGTGTGGTGCCAGCAAGACAGTGGGGGTGAAGACAAGCTCAGTTCCGCCCAGAGAGGGCAAAGTGCCAGCCAACCACCTTCCAGAGTCAGAGGCACCCAGGCCAGGAAGTAAGGGTAGCACTGGGAGGGCTATTTATCACCCCACCGACCCATGGAAAAACCAGCCAGGGTCCTGGTCCTGGCCAAGCAGCAATTGGGGGGCAAGGCCATTCATTGGTTGGGACCCACCCTGGGGAGGGTGGGGGATGTGAGGGTTGGGGGTGTTGCTGCCTCCTATAGCTAAGCCGGGGGGGGTGTGAGCAAGCGGGGGGGGGGGGGCGGTGCAGAAGTGGCCCCATAGGCCAGGTGGGGTCATCACCTGGGGAGAAAAGAGAGATGGCCTGCATCAGCACATACTCCTCCTTATGCAGCTGCAGCTTCTTCAGCATGTAGTGGAATTTCAGCACGGGCTCCAGGAGAAGCTGCTGGAAGCCACCTGTGGGTGAGTGTGGCATGAAGGGCAAGCAAACTCCTCAGGAAGCTGACCCAGACTTCCCCTCACCAAGGTCTTGGTTCCAAACGCCCAGATCCTGGTGTGGCTCCTCCCCTCCCCCTGGGCTGTCCTTCCCTCCCTCTGCCCTGGGGGCAGGCATCTGTCTGGCACCTGCAGTGTCCTCCAAACAGTAGGACAGCCGGCCACACTCCCAGGTTCCAGTCTCTGCGTTGAACACTGTGTTGAATCTCAGTTGGCACAGCTCAAAGGTGGCCCCCTTCAGCAGGGAGATCTGGTCTTCGATGGGCAGGTCCCTGGCAGCAAGGATGGGGGGGTGCCAGCTTCCACACGGGGTCTATGGGCCAGCCCCCTCCCATCATGCAGAAATCCAGTAGGGGCAGGTAGCAGTGGCCCTGGCCCCATGAGGAGTCCTGGCTTTTGGATTGCCTCCACTCTCTCCCCTCATGGCAGCTGAGCAGATCGCTCCTCTCTGCCACCCCCTCCAGTGCATGAGTCCCATGCAGCAGCAATATTTGCTTCTTGCTGTCTGTTTTAGATTTAATTTCTGCCACTTCTCTCCAGGCAGCCTGGATGCCGCAAGCCCTGCTCCCAACACTGATACGGGCCTAGCCACAGTGGACACCTCTGACATTCCTGGATAGACTGACACACCTCCCAATCTGAGAGGCCCACCCCCCAGCTCCCCATTGAGGGCTGTTCCCAGTAGGACCCCAAGAGGGAGGACAGTCAGGCTGGCTCTTGAGGGGGCCCTCGGCCTGGCTTTGGTCTCATCGGAAATCCAGTCCCTTGTTTTTTGCACCACCTCCCTTCTTTTAGATCCATAATTTCAGGAAGTTGATCCTATTCTCTCGAGTAGTGCCTGGCTCACGACCTGGCAAGCAGCTGGCTTTGAACTCTATACTCTTTGCTTCCAAATCTGGCCTCTCTGATTAACTGTGACCCTGTGCAAGTTCCGTGACCGGGGTAAACCTCAGTTTTCTATTTGTAGAATAGAAAGAAGGTGATACTAATGTGTACCTCTAAGGGTGACTGTGCTCACAACTGTGGTCACAAGAAATGGCAAGTAACCTCACACCTCGATGTTACATTGTGGGTCATCAGATGTCAGTGGGGATCTGCGAGATCCACACATGGAAGTAGGCCTTTCTCCCTACTCGACCTAATTTGCTACAATCTGACCGGTGGCCACCCCATTAAATAAGGCCTGCGTGTCACCCACAGGGCCACAAGGGGAACTGGTGGGGTCCTGGAATATGACCTGCCCTCTGCCTACTGATGGAATCAGGGGCTTCTTGTATGTGTGACTCAGCTGTAGCTCACCAGGCCTGGCAAGACCAGTGCTCGGACTGAAGAATATGCCTGTCCAGACCTGACAGACTACATATCACGGGGCCATGGTTGCCACCACACCAGAAGGTCCCAGGGGTTCTTGCCAACCTCAGTTGCCCATCATTGTCCCCATACCTAGCTGTGGGGAGCCCAAGCCTTTGGTTCTCAGAACCACCCCTCTTCCTCATGACCTTCACAACCTTCTCTTGGTGTCTGTTCCTGTCTCTCCCTTTCTCCCTCTGGACTTCCTTCCCTTTCCTTCCTACTCCTTCTTTGTTCTTGAACCATCAACTTGAGATGGCCAACTCCTGCCCTTTTGCGGGGCAATCGGGAAGAGATTTACTATCTGAATGCCTACCATGTATGTGCTGGCTGCTCTTAAGATGTTTTCTTATTTCACACAACAGCCTTGCAGTGGGCGTTATTAGCAGACGAGAACGCTGAGGCACAGTTGGGTTACATGGCAGGCCTGCAGTCTAAAGCTAATGAGCCAGAGGGTGAGGCCTCCACTTCCCAGCAGTACCAGGTGCTTCAGGCCGGGGGGGGGGGGGGCAGGGCTGGTAGAGATAAAGGAGGGTCCGTGGGCTCCCAAATGCAGAGGGACCTACCCTTCACCCTTTGAACCTGCTAGCCACTGCCTGCTCCTTTCCACACCATTCACCCAGCTCCTGTGTCCTACCTGAAGTGGGAGATGACTTTGGCAAAGTTAATGATGCCCTTGAACATGTAGGTTGACATGTCAGCCATGTGGGGCAGCAGGGAAAAGATCTCTTTCCCACTGCTGTCAGCTTGGGGTCTGTAGTTCCAGACGCTGCCATCTTTCCCCCGCAGCCGCAGAGAGACCTTCAGTGAGCACAGATCCTCCCTGATCTGGCTCCACTTGGCAGCGTCTTCCCCGGATGGAGTCTGCAGAGATTCCGGAATCCCAGGACCGCTGCTGAGCACTTCTGGCAGCTGGGACAGGAGCCAGGAGGTGAAGAGAGGACAGGAGAGATGGCATGTGTTCTCCCAAACAGGTTTCCACACAGGCCCAGAGGGTGTGCACAGCCACAGCTGCAGCCTGAGAGGACGCACAACAGCAGGTACATACACACACACACACACACACACACACACAGAGCACTTGTTTCTTCTCTCTGGGCTTCCGCTGTCGGGTGGTGCACTTTCTCGATCTGCCTGTCCATGTTCCCTCACATCCTTTCTGGTCTGAAATGAGTTTGCTCTCTTCCCAGTAGGAGGTAAGGGGTCTCCACCTATGGGTGTGTTCCAAGCATGCCTGACTTAGGAAGAAGGTTCTGGGAGCTACAGATAGAAAGAATAGATTTCTGGGGCGCCTGGGTGGCTCAGTAGGTTGAGCGTCCGACTTTGGCTCAGGTCATGATCTCGTGGTTTGTGAGTTCAAGCCCCGTGTTGGGCACTGTGCTGACAGCCTGGAGCCTACTTTGGATTCTGTGTCTCCCTCTCTCTCTGCTCCTGCCTTGTCCACGCTCTGTCTCTCTCTCTCTCAAAAATAAATAAAAACATTAAAAAAACAGAAAGAAAGAAATAACAGACTTCTGGGGCCACTGACTTCCAGCTCTCTGAATGGAGCAGGCCACCCAAAATACTTGTGAGCACAGAGGAGGAGGGGGGCACTGGGATCAAACATGGCTAACGTTGCTGGGGTCACAAATGTTTCTTAAATCTGTAAAACCCGTTCACAAATGCCACCCCCATGGTCCTGACCCTGTCCTCATAAAGCCCTGAATGCCAACAGCCCTGGGGCTACTCAGCTTTCCAAAACTCTATTTATGGCTCAGACCCAATTGCTACCTGCTGTGGAGGGAGAGAAAAGAAATTCTCAAACCTGAACTTGTGTCAGAATCACCTAGGGGTTCCTGTCAAAACACTGACTGCTGGGCCCTCCCTCAGAGTTTCTGACTCAGCAGGTCTGGGAGGATCTGAGAACTGGCACTTCTAACAATTTCCGAGGGACACTGCTGTTGTTGGGGCAGGAGCCACTCTTTGAGAACCCCTGGGCACAAGACTGGGGTTTTGAAGAGCTAGCATAATGGCTGAGCCAACTGGAAATCCTCATACCCGGAAATCCTTGAAGTGGGAGAAGGTGGTGTCAAAGGTTTTCGTCTGAGCATCCATCAGCTCTCTGATCATTGTCTGCTGTTCCTCAGTCAGACTCTTGGCTTCCAGGGGATGAGTGCCCATCCGTTCTCTCTTCTTCCTCCTGATCAAGGCCCGCCTCTGCTCCACAGCCGCGTCCGACATGATCACTGCGGGGATAACCAGAAGCAAGCGCAAGCACCTGCTAGAGCTTGGCTGCACTTTGTGACAGCAGGAGGGGACGTGCTGGTGACAAAACCCCCGCCTTTCCCAGGCTCCCCTGCTTAAGGGGAGAGAATGAGGTGTAGCTGGTGTGCTGTGCACGGCAGTGGGTTTTGGGACAATGTTGTAGGACGGTGGGAAGAACTCGGGCCGCAGAATCAGAAGGTGCTGGGTTTGCACGACAGCTTTGCCATTTACTAGCCGTGACCTTGAGCAAGCTCCTTACCGGCTCTTGGCTTCAGTTTCCTTCTTCATAATATGGAGTGGCAATGCTCACCTCACACCATTGCTACAATGAGGCATTGGGTGGAAAATGCCTAACAGAGCTCCTGGCACGTAATAAGTGGTCAGTGGCACCTGATAGTATTTTTTTTCTTGGTGGATTAGATACCAATAAGACTCCTCAGAGTCCCCCAAGGAATCTGGGTCTCCAAGACCCTAGCGAGCTGGGGCCACTGCTTAGCAAGAAATATCAACTCCAGCCACTTCCTATGTAGCCTGGAGCCTTAGGGCCTTCCGTGGATTTCTGGAGCCCACTTATGTGTGCAGAGCAAAGATGTGGGGTTGGTGTGAGGAACAGCAGGGACAGCCAGGGGAGAGACTTGCTTTCTGTCCACATAACCAGGGAACTTGTCCCCTGAAAGAGGCTGCCTACTCTGTGACGAGTGGAGAAAAATATACACTAGAAGCTTCCAGCCTTTTCCCGATTAGCTTTGAACTCAGTGACCTGGGAACACAATTATAACACCAAAGCTTGGCAGGTAGAATGAGAGCATCCTCTGGCACCTGTCTGCAAACAGTTCCTCTGTAGGACACCAGGTTTGGGAGGCTGATGGGCACCCGCTGCTGGAAGGTTGGAGGTCATATCACACCATGGGTCTCTGACTTCCTTCTCCCAAAATCACCTTGCCCAATTTTGCTAAAACACCATTAGGACACTTATGAAGGGGACAAAAAGAATCACGCAAGGGCACCTGAGGGGAGCGAGGGGCATGAGATGCCCACCACACCTGCCGGAGCAGAGAATAAAGATGCCCTGCACCCGTCAAGTCCCTCCCGCAAGGGCCCGTGGTGGTGCGGGCAGATGGCCCACAAGCTCTGCCCGACTTCGCCTGCGGCACCCAGGCCACGGGCTGACACGTGCACGCTCACGGTGCATGTCTGTACACGTGCTCATACACGTCCCCACGCTCCCTTCCTACTTGCCCCCCACCCCAACCCCGGACTCAGTGCCCGTGCACCCCAGCCCACACCCGCCCAAGGCACTTCCCGCCGCTCACTCTCCTTCTTCATGCCGCTCTCCAAGCACTTGCGGAGGCGGCAGGCCTGGCATTGTCTCCGGGTCTTCTGGGTGATCTCGCAGGCGCCCTTCCGAAAGGGGCACCTCAGCCGGGTGTTGCGTTTCATGGCTCTCCTGTGAGAGAACAAAGAGCAAAAGGTAGGTTCGGGGAATACCCAAGCTTCCCAGGCTGGGGGGCTCCAAGCTACATTTCACTCTGGACTCTGCTACAATCCGTACAACGCCACGTTCATTTCTCGCTGGAACACGGGTGCCCTTGACGGGCATTGGCCACGCCTCACCCCATGGGACCTGAGAGCAGCTGAGGCTTCACCACGTCAGCCCCAAAGCCCGTGCTTCTTCACTTGGGAGATGCGGAAGCTGCCTCAGGGCCTCCCTGGAAGTCCCCCGCAACCCCCCGTGCGTTCTGGCCCCCCACCCACGACATGCTGACTGGCGGCCCATCTTAGGGATCCTAGGGTGGGTCCTGGCTCTGGGGTCCATGTCCATTCACATGTCCGGCCACCAGGAAGAACTCTGCAGAGGACCAAGTCAGGCTGGCTGTCCTGGGAATTCAGGAGGGTCCTGAGCGGGCCTCTAGGTGGGAGCTGCTGTGTACATACCTGGCCCTGACGGCAGACTGGGAATCCCTCCTCACACATTCTCTCTCTGGCTCTGCTTTCCTGGTCAGCTGCTCTTCCTCCCATCCGAGCCCTGCATGGAGCTTCGGCCTCAATCTTTCTTCACTTGGAACAATGTGAGCCCTTCTGTCCAGGCCTGTCTTGCTCTGGCCTGGAGCTTCTTAATCCTTAATTTTTTTGGACCTCCCCATTTCCCTGCTTCTAGATGAGATTGCTTTGTCCTACTCTTCTTTTCTTTTATGCCTTTCTTTACTTAACAGTCACTCCCTAAAGCTGGTTTGAGTACTTGCAGTTTGGCTTTCCTCTTTTATGAACTGATTCTCCATTTTATTCAAGAACACATGGAGAAACAAAGGCATATCTTAATGAGAGGGGCCCTTTCCCACGTAGGGTAGGAAGATGGAAGATGAATTCCCCTGACATAGTCATGGCTCTCTTGAAACATTAGGAGGCTTTTGAATGGGCCACTGCCCCACACTCCCGGGAGATAGGTCAAGCTGAGGCCCTGAAGCAGTGCCCAGCGGGTAACGCAGAACCCCATCAGACATGACCCAGTGTCAGAGGTGGCAGGTGGGCAAATGTTGGCAAGTAACTACCTGAAAAAGCCCTTGCATCCTTCACATGTCATGACATTGAAGTGGTAGCCAGTAGCCTTGTCCCCGCATACACGGCAGATTTGGGGACCCCCATCTCCCTCAAGTGTGCTGACGGCAGGCTTCCCAGGAGCTGAATCTGTGGCTTCGCAGTGCATAAGGGCAGCATGTTTCCAGCTTTCTCCAGGTCTCTCCTCCAGGTTGGCTGCCGGGCCTCTTGGGCTACAAGTGAAAAAAACCACAGGGAACGAAAGGGCTGGACAGAGACATGCTGAGGCAGTCCTCACTGTGGTCGCTCACATGTGGTTCTGTGGACCCAAGAGCTGACCCCAGGTGGAAGATTTGGGGGTGGGTTAGACTTGTTATCAAGAGAGATGTAACCATGGCATTGTGTATACAATAATAGGGCCCTGGCACGTTGAGCAAGCACAATGGGGAGAGAAGGGGAAGGAGAAGAGATGAGAAGGAAAAAGAAAAGGCTATCTGGGTTGAGTTACAGAATATACTAAGATTAGGAGCCCATGATCTGGTCAAAGGCCCATAGAACAGCCCACTTTCTGGAGATGGTCTGGGACTAGGGAGACCCGAGGGAGACAGTCTCTCAGGCATGTTGTGGCCCAAGCTCCCAGAGAAAGCTTAAAAGCTGTGCAGAAAGAGGGATTTCAACTGAGTAACCAAGCAAATGGGGAGAAAGACAGAGAGGAGCCAGGCTCAGGAAGCAGGAAGAAAATGGCCCAGGTCCCAGTCTAGCTGGGACATGAGTGAATAATCAAAGAACTTGTACCCATTAATAGAGCTGTGTTCAAGAGGCTCGCCCCAGGCAGCTTGCACCCGGACAGCGTGACTTGGATTCTGTACTTAGAACGAGCACAGAGGACGGTGAGCAGAAATAGAGAGCTGTCCCGTTCACGACTCTTCTCAAAAGCTTCTCTGCGCACTGATTCTGAAGGGCTGCCACACCACAGATGACGCTGCCTTTTCTAAACCTCAAATAAAACCTTAATAAAATTTTAACACTCGAGGGGCGCCTGGGTGGCTCAGTCGGTTAGGTGTCCGATTTCAGCTCAGGTCATGAACTCGCGGTCCGTGAGTTCGGGCCCCGCATCGGGCTCTGTGCTGACAGCTCGGGGCCTGGAGCCTGTTTCGGATTCTGTGTCTCCCTCTCTCTGACCCACCCCCGTTCATGCTCTGTCTCTCTCTGTCTCAAAAATAAATAAACATTAAAAAAAAAATTTCAACACTCGAGTTTCTGTTTCCAACAGCATGACAGATGACAGCAAGCAGTTTCACCTGTAAAGACGAATTAGAAATTAATCTGTCCTGCAGCCCCGACCTTCCAGAAAACTGCAAATAAAATAGGCTGACAGAAACTTGAACTGAACCAGTGTGCACAGAATCTGCCCTGATTTTTCAAATCATAACCCTGACCTCAAATGGGCTTGCTGACAAAATGTGTATGCAGAGTGTTCCCAAAAACCTGAAGCCAAGGATTCGATTTAAAGAGCTTTTGGGGGGGCGCCTGGGTG